ACGAGAGAAAAGTAACCAAGACATATATCTACTAAGATTTTAATATTTCTATTACAGTTGGGTAGCAATGTACCCTATGGCTTTCATTTTCAAGGCAAACAGAATACAAACTTTTAAAAAAATATTGCCTCTCTGTGCCTTGCTTATTTCACTTAACACTGTGATAGCTCTGGGTTTACTCATGTTGCCACAATGATAAGAATGACCCTAACACAGTTGATCCTGCAGAAATGGAGCAGGACAGTGGTCTGCAGCCTGGGACAGCAGACAGCGCACGGAGGGCTTAGCTGACAGGCACGAGTCACAGTCAGAAAGGAGGAACGAGCCCCGGGAGTGACTTATGGTCAGTGTTACATGGTAATGGCCAAACTCTAGAGAATTTAATATTAGAACTGGGCAAAACATGGCTATAAATAGGGCAGGATTCATTGTCTCTATGATTTTCACTATATATTTCATATAAAGTACAATATTTGGAGCTGTAATATTTGGAACTGGGAACGTTTGTCTTGTTGTTAGTGGTTTATTTCTCATAACAACATGTCCTTAAAATTTATCCATGCTGTCTCATGTGCATTGAGACTGAATAATACTCTATTTTATATATAGGTTGTAAGTTGCTTATTGTTCATGCATTAATGGACATTTGGGGTGCTTCTACAGCACAGCTATTGTGCATACAATTCTGCTATAAACATGAAGAAACAGATATTTCTTCAAGACCTTACTTGAAGTTCTTTCTGGCAGTACCCAAAAGTGGAACTGATGAATCATATAATTCTATTGCTAATTTTAAGTGAGTTATGATAGTGTTTGCTGTGATTAGAATATTATTTGTGTCCTCGGATGTCCATTATGATTAGAGACTTAGTCCACCAGTTGGGTATACAGTTTTCCCAGCACCCTTTACTAAAAAGACAGTTCTCTCCTCATTAGGTAGTCTTAGCATTCCTGTAGAAAATCGCTTACCAGGTATGCTATTTCTGAGGTCTCTACTCTGTTCCATAGGTATTTCTTCTGTCTTCTTAGATCTTACCAGTAAGTCTCTGTAGTTAATTTTTCATTTCAATCATTGTACTTTTTGGCTCCAAAAGTTTGTATTCTGTTAGCTCTTTTTTTTTGGGGGGGAGTATTTACAGTGATGTTCCAATTTTGTTTATAATTACTTTCTTGACTCTCTCCACATTGTTCTTTAATATGTTGGATATCTTTAACACCATTGTTTTAAAGTCTTTATCTAGTAGATCTGCCACCAAATATTTTCAGGAATAGTTTCTGTTGATTTCACCCCAATGAATGGATTGTACTTTCTTATTTCTTTTTGTGAAAACTGGACATTTGCATTTAATAATGTTGCAATTATTATCTTCCCTCCCCATGGTGTGCTGGTTTTGATATTGATTCATTTTGTTTCATTGTTTTAGGATGTTTCTATGTCAAAGGTTAGTCCAGGGTGTAAACTTGTAGTCTCCCTAGATCTCCTCTGAGACTCTACCTTTCCCTGGATATCTGTAGTCACTTCTAAGTTTCCCCATATATGCAGGGGAAGCTGATTTTCTTTTTAATGTTCTAATAGTTAATGTCCAGCTCCCAAATTAGAAAGAGAAAAATTAAGGGGTGGGGTGTTAGGAGGTGTAGTCCTTTAACTTTCCTGAAAGTCATTTCAGCTTGAGAAGAGAGTAGAGATGTGGCAACAGTGAAGTCACCTTGCCCCATTGCGAGCATCTCTGTGACAAAGCAGAAGCAGCAGCCCACGTCTCAGATGTTTGGAGGACAGAGTCCCTTCTGCACACCATGGCTCCTGCGGCCTGTGCGCAGGTTGCAGCCAAGCCATGTGGACAGCTGCCTATCATAATGCAGGGGGTGCAACAGAGGAGCTGAAGCTGCTACTACTGTGCTAAGAGCTTAAATTGACCCAAATTAACTGCACTTTATTCTAACCCTTCCTCTGGAAAGTGCATGTCTTTAGTAGGCTCCATAGTTCCAAAGTGACTAGACAAGACAGATTCTACCACACAATTACAGTGTACCTCAGTTCACAAACTTAGTTCTTTCCATGATGCTGACTGTAAACCAAACTGTTCATAAACCGAATCAAATTTCCCCATAAGGTCAACATTGCACGGAACCATTGAATTTGATTTGGTTCACAGCCATTTCAGTTGGCTACGAGAATCGTGGAAAGATTTAAGTTCTTGAACTGAGGCACCACTGTATCATCTAGGTGGCAGACAGATGCCTAGTGCTCCTGCTCTGCCATCTTCCCAGGTTCTTATCTCCAACTTTGTGTGCTTTTAAATGATCATAAGCAAAGCCATCACAGGAAAGAATGAAGCAGTGATGCCTCCAACAGCTTTGGTGAGCTGTGAAAAATTTAGGCCAAGCAGAAGAAGCCAGGTAAATGGCCACATGTAGGGATTAGCTAAGGCATAAAACAGTGAGCAAATCAGTCATAGCAATCTGTTTCAGGGGTTGAGAGTGGGTTGACTGCCTAATGGGTATCGGCTCTCCTTTTGGGAGAGACAAAACTATTCTGGAAATTGTTAAAGCTGAAAGCTGTGCATGTTGTGGCTGTATTATGTGTTCCTGAAGAACACTCTAAAATGGTCACTTTTAGATCATGTAGATTTCACTTTCATTAATAGAAATAGTAAGCCTGTGAAAAAAATAATAAAGATGTCAAAAAGTTCCACAAAACAGAAAATTCACTAAATACAAAACACACGGATTATTCAAGAAACCTGCATTGCGTATTTCTCACAAGTCCACTTTTGTTTTCTTGCAGTACTAGGGATTGAATCCAAGACCTTCATACTAAGATACATCCCCAACCCAATTTAATTTAATTTAATTTAATTTAAGACAGGGTCTTGCAACAATTGGGCTCAAACTTACAGATGCTCCTGACTCAGCCTCCCAGAGCACTGGTTTACAATCATGAACCACCATGTCTGGCTACAAAACCACCTGTATATTCTGATTCTGATCCAGAGTGACAATAAAGTGTTCAACTGGTTACTTTCTTGGGTGTAGCAGTGCTTCCAGTGTCTCTTCCTCCTTCTGCTTCCTCCATCTCTTGCCAAGAACTGTCAGTTTTGTCCCTGCAGTACCATTCCTGGTCTTCCAGTCCTTCTGCTTTGAGTCAGCCCCCCTTTCTCCATGGCACCAGGCAGGTCCGCTGTGCTTGCACTGTTATGACCAGGCCCTCCTTGCCTACACCTTGGTGGCTGGGCGTCAGAGTCCCACTGCTCAGGCTGTGTGCAGACTCACGCATGCAGTTCCAGACTCACCCTCGTTCTCCTGCTTCCATCCAGGGGTATCCACAACTCTTCCCTGAATGCCCTCTGGGCTGTCTTCTGCTGGGGCCTGATGTGTGGCCAGGTGACAGTGGCCTGTTTCCCCACGCAGCTCGGAACTTTCTCCGCTGCCGCAGCCTTGCCTCTCCTTGGTCTGCTGCACTCTTCCCTAGCTTTTAAAGCCTGACACCTTGAAATCCAGTGACTCACCTTCCTGAGTCCTTGGTCTTCAGGGCTGACCCCTGCCCTGTTTCACGATGCAGGCACTGACGGTGCCCCTTGTCTGCTCTTTTTACCTGCAAAGGGCTACAACTTTTTCAGAACCCCTGTCTAACACACAGTGAAGCTAGCACTGCAACCAGCTCTGGATGGATAAGCAGTGATTTCCTTCCTGTAAATTTCGGGCTGTGCTCACTGTCCCCTCACTTGCTCTCTGTGACTCACCTCGGAACAGTATAAGAGGTGTATAATAGGTCTATCATAAATATTTCCAGCCTACACAGCACCTGTCCCTGTATACTAAGATTAACATCTCATTAATTCTTGTTTGAGGGGTAACTGGACCACAAAAGCATGCAACAGTGTCTTGCATCTGTGTCTTGCATCTGTGTCTTAGATTTCTGGTATGTAGTCTGTACACTAAACATAAACACTGATGTGGAATCACTGTGGCCTTTCTCAGTTGTCTGCATTTCCATACACCTCTTTCTGGGTTTCCTCTCTCACCTTTTTTAGTATTTATTTCTATGTCAACAATTTTAAGGCTAATTATATACTCTTTTGTATTATTCCTTAATTTATCCTTTAGGTTTTCTGCATTTCCAGAATGCCTATGTCCCTATGGTAGTGGTACTATGCATTTTTTTTTGATGAATGGAGAAAAAATGGAAAGAATTAAAATCCTTTCTTGATACACCATAAACAAGTTTTTAAGAAGATGGGTTTTGAATCACTCAGAGTTATTTTTCTTCGTTTTAGTGCTGCCTGTGTAGTTGTTTGATAAGCCAGCATCTAGTCTTATCTGTAGATTTTTCATTTATTGTCACATAGCCAGGTGCCCATCAGTTCAAATCTGTTCAGGGTGAAAAATAGCTAAGCATGGCTGCATTTTTAAAAATTATCTTGAGGATGAAAACAATCACGCTTTAGGCTGTAATTTAAATGGAACAATTTTGCATCCTTGGCATTTGCCAGAAGCTAGCGACCTAACTGAACTGCAACACTGAAAGATTTGGAAGGAGAAGCAAGCTGGGAGATAAGTTTAATAAAGCTTTTGTTTTCCAGATGCAGCATCCTTTTGATTCCTTCTTATCATTAAATCCCCCCTCCCTCGTGTGCGTGTTTAGTTGAAAATAAACTTTGAGTGACCTTGTGATTTTAAAGAACTGTCAAATTACATGAAAGATCATAATCAGTCCTTTGTAACTTAAAAGGAGGGGAGGGAGAGCGGTTCTGTAGAAATTAGATTTTAAAAATACAAATGTGCTTAAAAATTTTCAATACATTTGCCAAGCGGACAGCGTGTTAGGGAGAAAAGGAAAAAACTGTGATTACCATTCATCTTCCTAGGGATGAGGAAGAAGCCCGTGGGCCTCTCCATGGGGTTCCTCTCCATGGGGTCCTCTACAAACCAACTCACCTGGTCTGCTTCAGTGAAGAGCTTATGGCTCACCTGTTCTTTTCCTTCCTCTCTTCCCCCTGCAGGTCACCTATCTGGGGAAAGTCTCTACCACAGGCATGCAGTTCTTGTCAGGCTGCACGGAAAAGCCAGTGATTGAGCTCTGGAAGAAGCACACGCTCACCCGGGAAGACATCTTCCCAGCCAACGCCCTTCTGGAGATCCGACCTTTCCAAGTGTGGCTGCATCACCTTGACCACAAAGGCGAGGCCACGGTGCACATGGATACCTTCCAGGTGGCCCGCATTGCCTACTGCACCGCCGACCACAACGTGAGCCCCAACATCTTCGCCTGGGTGTACAGGGAGATCAACGACGACCTGTCCTACCAGATGGACTGCCACGCTGTGGAGTGTGAGAGCAAGCTCGAGGCCAAGAAGCTGGCCCACGCCATGATGGAGGCCTTCAGGAAGACTTTCCACAGTATGAAGAGTGATGGGCGGATCCACAGGAACAGCTCCTCCGAAGAGGTTTCCCAGGAACTGGAGTCTGATGATGGCTGAATGAACTTGAGGTGCTCCGGCGAAGGCGGCATTGGTCAAGGAGCTCAACAGGAGAGATGAAGAAGCAACCATTCAAATTTGGGATGAAAAGACTGCCAAAACCATTGGCTGACCACGCTTTTTAAATGCAGATGAGCAATTCTAAATCTAAAGAAATGTATCATTAAAGTAATTACGTGACATTGAAATCTGCTGCTGCTGTGGCTCGGAGGAGGGTGGGAGCCAGGACGGGGAGGAAGGGTCTAGACATCTTATGTTTTCAAGTTCCAACATCTCCTGCTGGGAGAGCTCCATGCCAGTTTTCACCACTCTCAGGCAAACATTCTGCAGCTGTGAGTGACAAGTGACGGACCATTACAGTCTGCCTTATGAAATCCAACAGGAGTGTGTTGAGACACCGTGGGTTCCCTCCAGGGTGGGCAGGAGAGGGTGCTGATGCTGGTGCAAAGCCGCAGTGGAAGCAAAGCTCAGGATGACTGAGAGGGCCTCTCCCGTGCCATGTTCAGACTCTCCTCAGTATGCAAATCAGCACAGCCTTCCTCCAGCTTTACAACTAACCACCCCATAGTTGGCAGTTAATTCGCAGTTAAAGATAATGCTTTTATTTACACAAATATATCCAGTAGTACCCTTTTATTGTATTCACTCTATCTATTTTCTTAGAATACTTGCAACTACTAATAATGCCTTCCCTCCTTCTGCACTGCCTGCCCTCTTTCTTCTGCCAGCATCCCTAGAGGGAGGGATTCTCACAGCCTGCCCTGCAGGATACCAAAAGGGAAGAAAACAAGAAAACAAATGAAATAACTAGAAAGCAAACCAACCAGGAGTTTAGAAAAACAGCAAAAAGCCCAGAAAAAGGCAGAGCAAGCAGCACGTGAGCCAACTCTTTGGGGGTGTCCTTCCCTCAACCCTGAATCTTGGTAGCTTCCTTGGCTAATGTCCTGTTGGATGAGTCCTTCACGGCAAGCTTCGAATCTGGTTTGGGACCACCAAGGAAGCCTTGCCCTCATCACGTAACATGGCACTCAGACAGGAAAGAAGTTAGATAAACTGGGCCTGTCTAGAAAACCCAAGTCCATCTCCATGTTAGGGGAAATCTTGCCTTGTTACCTTAAAGTTGCTGATGTCCGAGAATTCCAGTTGCCCATTTGTTCATTCATTCTCCTGAGAAAGTCTCGCTAGGAAAGCACAGATTTCTCAGCTTCGTGCATCTTCCAGTATCATAAAGAGTCGACATGGAATGAAATTGAAAGCATTGGTGAAGATACATGCATTTAAAACCGAGAACTGGTAATTATATTTCCCAGGTAGTATTGCTCCTGGGTGGAAGTCTGTTTTCATTCCTGGTAATGTTAGTGGCACCTTAGAAGCCTTACAGGAGAGCTAATCTAATTCAGAGAGTGATGGTGTCGGCATTTTGGTCTGTGTACTTGTGTGTCCATATATAGGTCTGTGTGTGTGTGTGTGTGTGTGTGTGTGTGTCCCTGTGTGTGGGTCCAGTTTTCAGGCATGAACAATAAGCATGGGGTCATACTGAGGAAAACTTGCCTCTTGAAGAAATGCTTGTCGCTTTATGACATATGTACACAATTCTTTCGCATAAATGCATTCATTCTTTAATAAAATATGTTTGTGTTAATCTGAGGCATTTTGTACTTTATGTGTACTTTATCAAGCAATGGAAACAGGATGAGCAAGATAAATCAAACTGAGCAAACTGAACAATTCTACCTAAAACATGGTTTAAATTTCTCATACGTAACCCATTCCTTGACTATGTTTAAAATTTTTGTTTCATTTTCCAGGTGTCCAATTTGCCTTTAATTGCTGGCCTTTTCTGAGATGGTAACGGGTCAGCCATTGAAGGGGTTATTTGGTGTGATGGACTTATTACAGAGGAGCCTCTTCCAGAACATTTTGTGGATGATTTCTCTTTGTAAAATCTCCTGTGTGTTTTTGGGGAACCTGCTTTGAAATCCTTGAAATCGAGCCAATGGTGATTCCTTCTGAGGTTACTGGTTAGGCTATGATTTCTCAGAATGGCTGCATTAATCAAGCAAGGCAGGTGGCCATGCAGCCTTTGTGTTTTCAGAAATGCCCTTCCTGGAGTCAGTAGAAAATACAATGGCTTTTAAAGTGAAAATGTAGGTGTCTGCTAAAGAGATGACCTCAAGTGAGAATTACTGCCTAACTCCTCTGGCTGAAGTGGCATTTCTCTCAAGTCAAACTTTTCCAAATTTCATTTTATTTCATTGTCCTTGAATGTCCATCTTAAAGGGGGGGAAAACCCTAAGATCAGTGAGCATGTATTTCAAAACAATGCCCTTTTCCACTCGGAGTAAAAGTTAAATGGAATCCCAAGTGCATACATGGTTATTTGTTGTGAAAAATTTTACAGGATTAAGTATGACATTTTATGTAATTGTCTAGAATAATATCGGCATGAGATTTTTGCATTAGATGATTGATAAGCAGTAGAAAGAAAAATACACAGTGGTATCTTTCAGTTACTATTTGTAGCAGCCAATTACTATTCCTCTCAGAGGGGTGATCCAGCTTTCGATTATTTTTTAATGCTTTGAATTCTCCCTTCCTGTTGTACAGTTTCTTTGCTAATGGTCACAAAGCACTTTTACATCCATTAACTCCTCTGCTCCTCAAAAGAACCCTGTAGGTGGGTGGGGCAGTTACTCTGGAAAAGAGCAAACAGGCTGAGAGAGGCCCCATTACTACACCCAAGTAACAGAGCCAGGATGTTTGGTGAGGTCGGATCCCTCTGGTGGATGGTACAGGGCTCTTGTTCTGTTAAGACAAACTCTATCTCCTTCAGATTTTTCACTTCCGTTCCTCTTGAAACCTCTTAACTTATTTTAAATTAGCATATTACACTATTATAAATATTTTCTGTTGCTCATTTTTGAAGTATTTTTTAGAGTGGCAGAGTTGTTTTTAAAAGCTAAAGCCGAAGAAGTTTTATTTGAGCACAAATAACAGAATATGATGTCTTGTTTAAGTAGTTTCCTGGATGTGGGCCCCGGACAAGATTAAGATGCTTCTTTCATTTGTTTTTCTCCGCACATGTTAAAGCTATAAATATTACCGGTCACTAGCATCTTATGATTTTTCATCATGTTATTCATTGCAGTTTTCAGCCACATAGTTATTTATGTAATTGTGTAAATGCCTGTTTAAATCTCTGGGGTGGTGGTATTAATATGGAGAATGTCTTTTTTTGTCTGTATTTTATCGCTAGCTTTCATGCCAGGACCAGGCACCAGGGAGGGACTCATTACATGAGGGTTAGCTGGCTGGCAGGATGGATGGAGGGGCACACAGACAGAAGATGTCACTGTGTGTCTTTGGTTCACAAATTCTAGGACAGAACCTTGGAACGCCAAAGGGTATCTTGTTGATTGCTTGCACGGTTTCTTCAAAGGTGAGAAAATAGTTTTTTACTGAATAAAAAACATCTGCCCTTACCTAATACAAAAAGAATTGTGACCATTTACAGATAGAAAGCGATGTTTCATGTAAGCCACACCACTGAAATGGAGCACACCCTACTCCAGAGACACAAAAGAAGGTATTTCACGACACCTGCTTTTAGCAGATCACAGCACATGTATCATACAGTTATTTCTGTTTATTTCAAGAAGAGAGACAGAGAAAGTTGAGGGAGGGCATTCTTATTTTTGGACCTTCTGAAGCATATGGATTTAAGTGGGTTTTCCCCAAATTTGTATTTTAGAAAACATTTTTTCCATCTTCCCTCTTTTCTGTCTTTTCTCACTTGCCCTCTTCCACCCTTTCTTCCTCTTCCCCCCTTCCTACCTTCCTTCCTTTTCTGCCTTAATTATCTACAGTTAACATAACACATTCCAGACTAGCGGATTTTAAGAGGGAAGGGTGGATGTGTGCTGAATCCGACATTACATTTGGTTCATGACCCATTGATGCAAAATTTGACAAGATTTAAGAAACACTGCAGATTATCTTAAATTTCTCTTATTTAATTTCTTAGGCAGATGAGACACTGTGATGAGTTAGCTCTTCATGGATTGCTATTTCTTAAGTATCCAAATATTTACTATTTCCATCCCCTCAATATAACCTAAAATAATTTAGAAGGAAGGTGGGAAGTGAAGATTTCCTTAGTTGTCAGAGGTAACTCCTTGCATTCTAATGATCTTCAAGAAACCTCCGTGAGAGGTCAAGGTTTGCCTGTTAGAATTATTTTATAGGATACATTGTTCAGTTTGAAAACTGACTTTTCCTTCTGAAGAGGGGCCAATAGAGAGACAGTTACCAGAAGAAAATTATGTGTGATGCAAAAATGCAAACTTAGGAAAAAAAATAAGGGAAAGGGTGAAAGCAAATTTCCTAGAGCAAGAAAACTCTAAGCCATCTTGTTTTGAACATTTGCAAATGAATCATGTTGATTGAAAGTGAATTTAGACAAGTTTACACACTTGAGCAAAGCTGACATTCATAAAGAGGCTGGGGAAAAGTGCTGCTTTTGGATTTTATTTGTGCATCCCCAATCGAGTATTCAACACTAATCTGAACAAATTTTTGCTTTGAGAATTAATGGTTTCTACTCAAAAGCATTTGCATCTTTATACTAAATTTTCAATAGCTCAATTTAGAGGTTACTATAAGAAGTCAAACTTATGACCTGAAAATGGAATTACTGAAGTATCACACATATATTCAATGCCTTCATAATAAACTAACCAATAATTACCAATACTTTCATACAGCTTCTTTTGACAACTATTTTCCAATAAAAATGCTTTCATCCCTTTAAGCATGTATATTACAGCAGGGTCGGACTGTTTCAAAACTTCGTGAGATTTGTGAAATACTACATAAGACTTTGACCTCACCCCTGTCATTTTGTGGCTTTAGTTGCCATTCCAGAAATTCTTGTTTTTGACCTTGAATGAAAAACTTAAGAGAAAGATTTAAGAAAATACCCAGCTAAAAGGAAGACCTAAGAGTTGGGTGCATTCCATGGCTCTTCTTTTTTTTTTTTTTTTTTTTTTTTTTTGGTTTTTCTCCGGTACC